GTGATTTTCAAGCTGTGGGGTTCACAACAAGAACCTCCACAGGCCAAGTGGGAACCTAGTGCCTTAACCACCATATCACCTGCTGGTCCAGTTTCCCCAACCTTAAAAGGGGAATCTCTAAGCTTCTCAAACATTTTTACCAAGAGCCTCCCAGCAGCAGAGAACACACACACAGGTTCGCTGACCTCCGAAATGTTCTTCGTAAACCTCTAGCATGCCCGGATCTGCTCCACGACAGGCGATGTTTTCTCTAATGTGCGTGTGGTCCCAGCCCAGCAAATCCTTTCCTAAAAGTGATACTCGGGGAGTGAGTCGTATTGGTCCAGAGGCTTCGTGGCCGCCCACTTTCTGCCATCTCACCTGCTGTCCCCGCATCCCCATGCACAAGCATTCGTGGCCATCCCTCAGGACTGGGTGGACACATGGCAGGGCCCAAGGGGGCTTCTTTCCTACAACCCCTTCTCCTGAGTCTACTGGGTGAGACCCTGACAGAGACACAGAGCTTCTGCATTTGGTAACCCGAGGGCCATCTCTCAACCTCCTCTTCTGAGAGATTATTTTACCTGCTTGCAGGATGCATTAGATTTTATGAGGCCAGTTAGAACCTGACAGAAAGGGGATTCGCTACTGAGCCCCAGGGCCAGCTTGATGCTGCTTGGTAGGATTGGCGGGGGCCTGGTGAGAGCCCACGTCCCATTTTCAGTGAACTCTCGGGAAAGGGGTATGTGGGTGGAGAAGTGGCACGAGGCCAAGCCGTCTCGGCCAAGAACTTGCCATGGACATCAGGGCCTTGTCATGTCTGAATTTCAAGGCCCGACAGATTCACAGCTTGTTCCCCATGACGCCGCAGCCATGGCTCAGGGGACGCAAGTCAGTTTCTTCCAGAAACCTCCCTCCCTGCCCCCAACCTGGCCACCTCCCTGACCACACACCAACAGCTGGGAGGAGAGTTTAGGGGGTTGCCTGGGATACAAGGAAAGCCTCAGCCCCCCTTCATCTGCGACCTGAGGGGAGGGCCTCAGCCACAGCCAATATGACAGCAAAGCCACACTGGAGCGACTTGCCAGCCTCCTCTTCTGAGAACCCCTGCCCCCAGCACAGTCACTTCCAGTTCTCTGGGGCACATGGCCGCCCCACCCACCGCTCCCTGTCCTGAGCACATCTGGGTCATCTCCCTTCTGTCCCCACAGGACCTTGGGACCTGGATCACGGCAGTTATCATCTTAGTTCTTTTTGTTTTTAATTTGCTCCAGGGTGTGTGTGTCCAGCTGGAGAGAGACAGAAAGTGACAAAGCACCCCCCAGAGAGGATGACCACGTCACAGTCCCTCCCCCTCCCCTCTCAGGATTTGGGGGCATGCGTGCACACATGCCTGGCGTGTTTGCAAGTCCCTGGGACTGAGACTCAAACCGTGCGGTCAGCCCTGTGGGAGCAGCAGCCTCAACCACTACACCACGTGGCTGGGCCCACTCTAAATCTCCGACTTGCCTTGTACCCCTACTAGACTGGAAACTTGAAATGATATCCAGGTCAGATTTCTACACCCTCAGAACCTAGAGTAGTGCCTGGCACATAGTAGGTGCTCAGTAAATATTTGTTTAAATGGCTGAGTGGACATGCAGAGACACTCGAAACAAGACCCTGAGCTCCTTATGCTTCCCCAAGCCTCAGTCTCCTTACTGGCCTAACTACTAGTAACTCTGCAGGACTGAGAACGACGTGAAGAGCACACGGAGAAACTACCCAGCACACTACGTAGCACCTAAAAAAATGCCTACAAAGCACAGACTGGGGACCAGCAGTTGGCGTAATGGCTATGTCGCTGAACTCCCATGTAGCTGACCGCGGTTCGAGTCCCAGGCCCGGTGGCTTAAAACTCATGCCGGGCACATGTGTGCGCGTGCCCAGGATCCCAAGAGAAGGAACTGTGGCGTGGCTATCCCCCCTGGGGGGTGATTCTCTGTCTCTCTCTCTCTTTCTGGTGAGCACACATGCCCTGTAGCAAAAAC